CGACTCCCAGTGGTGCCTGGCCGAGGGGCTGCTTTTCCTCCCTGCCCCAACCTGGGGGCATTGCTGTGGGTCTTAGCAGTGGTGTCCCTTGCTGCTCTGTGCCAGGCAATCCCACTCTGTGGCCAAGGAGCTCACATTGAAGAGATGACTCAAAATCATCTCCAAACCCAGGGGATTTGGTACACAAAGAGGCACCTCCTGTGCTGGCTGGACCTCCACCATCTTCCCAATTCACTTGCACAACTGAATCATGCAAGAAAACCATCTGGACACAGGTTGGGGGGGGTGCGGGGTGGTGTGGGCCTGATGGAGACCTGGACAGCCTGGGGTACACACTTTTATGGCAAAAATAAATGTCACCTCTCCCTTTGCAACACTGAACACAGGGACAGAAGGGAGCATGTCAGACGTGTTGCCATGGCTCTGCTGTGCTCTGAAGAACCAGCCACACACTGCAGCTTTGATCAGAAAAGGGGAAAAGGTTCCCTAAGAAATGGTCTGAAGGAGGGGATGAGGTGGTTGAATGGCGGAGGTGATGCACTGCTAATCCACTGTGCTCCACACGAGTGGGTTTGAATCCCACCCTCTTGGAGACTCCCAAGCCTGCTGCTTACCATGGTTCAGTGCTTTGCCTCTTGGAGGAGGTGTAACGTGGGCTCAGGGAGCCAAGGGGACAGGCATAGGAGCGTGGGGCCCAGCATGTTGCACTGAAGGGCAACGAAGGTCCCTGAGCAAACCGGAGCAGGTTCAGCAAGTGGGAGCAACAGTGCAGAGGCAGACGTGTATTTAACATGGCAAGCAAAACAGAGAGACAGGAGGGAGGTCACAGAACCCCAGTCTGGTTTGTGTTCGAAGGGACCTTAAGGCTCAACCAGTTCCAACCCCTGCCACGGGCAGGGACCCCTTCCACTAGAGCAGGGTGCTCCAAGCCCCTGTGTCCAGCCTGGCCTTGAACACTGCCAGGGATGGGGCAGCCACAGCTTCTCTGGGCACCCTGTGCCAGCGCCTCAGCACCCTCACAGGGAAGAGCTTCTGCCTAAGAGCTCATCTCAGTCTCCCCTGTTCTGGCAGGTTAAAGCCATTCCCCTTGTCCTGTCCCTACAGGCCCTTGTCCAAAGCCCCTCTCCAGGTTTCCTGCAGCCCTTTTAGGCACTGGAGCTGCTCTGAGGTCTCCCCTTAAGGAGCCTTCTGTGCTCCAGGCTGACCCAGCCCAGCTCTCTCAGCCTGGCTCCAGAGCAGAGCTGCTCCAGCCCTTACCATCACTAGCACACAGCATAGCTGCTATGGGTGGGAGCTCCCTCCTGGGTATGCAGCATTGCTCACAGTGGAGGTTCTGGAGAGAGGAGAGGATGAGCTACTGCAAGATGCAGATAAAAGAGATAAAACCCCACGTGCTGTGAGGCTTTAACTGCTGAAATCCAGAGGTCTGAGGAGAGGGAAGCGTTGCCTTTCACAGAGCTGCCTGTGCTTCCATGTGGCTAGTTAAACCTGTTGTGCCAGCATTGCCAGTTCCTTCCCTGCTCCCACCCCTTTCCACAGACGAGGATGTAGCCAAGCAATGCCATGTCTTGGAGGCAAAGGCAAAGATGCTCAGGCTTAGCTGCCCACACTGCAAGCTGTGCGCTGGGTTTTTGACCTTCCCTGAGGACATGTTTCCTTCCCATGCCTTGAGGACGTGCTGCTGGGATTGAGCTGGGAACTGCTTCCCTTTGTCACCTTCTCCGGAGCCAGAAACAGGGCTGCAAGCAGATTTCCTATGGAAAAGGCATGGGGTTTGGTGCACTGGGGGGGGGGTGTTACAGCCCGGGGGAAACACTAACATGCAGCTGGAGATGGTGAGATGGGAAGCAGTCAGTGCAGGCTCCCCCTAAGGTGGTGGTGATGGTGTTGCAGGATGGAACCCAGGGACTTGCAGGGAAAGGAGACAAACTGACTCCATTGGGACACCCTTGGGTTGTGTCTGCCCCAGTATATGTGTGCACTTGCTCTGGTGTGCAGTGATGTGGCCTCCTGGGGGGGAAGGTGCCAGCCTCAGTGACGCTGGGGAGCATCAGCTCACCCAGGGACCTGGCAATTATAGGGGACATGTGAGAGGCATGGAACTGGATGACCTGCAGCCCCAGGGATGCCCACAGCAGTGGCTGGGCTCCATTACCCAGGTTCCACACAGCACCCTCAGGTGCCTCAGAAAGGACACAGGTGGCCAAGGATGCTCCATGGATGCAGCATGGGTCTGTCTGCATCAGGATGCTCCTGGCACCTGTATGTCCCACTTTGCCCATCAGCCACATAGGAATGGTCCCTGGGACGTCAGCTGTAGCCCTAAGGGAAGTGCACTGGATGAAGCAGTTCCTTGGAGATGGCATGCAATGGGCCTATTGCTGTTGCAAAATGTGCCTTTGGCTTTCAGGAGGCATTTGGGGCCAGGGGTAAGCTTCCACCCTCCAGCCAGTCTGAGAGACATCTGGCCCTTGGGTTGGTGGAAATCAAAATGCAGACTGGTAAAACTGGAGCTGCAAAGTGCTGCTGGGGCTGGTGATGGGAAGGGAAACACAGCAAGTGTTGGTCCTGGGCTGCGTTTCTCCTCGTGCCCTTTCCTGCAGGAAGAACCAGGGCTGAGATGGTCACTCCTCCTCGAAGTTAAGAAGCTGGGTCTGATGTGTTTGGTTTGGTGACATTTTCTTGGTGCTGTGGCTCCTCCAGAGAGAGCCATGTCTCAATCAGAAAGTGCTCATTCCCTGAAACAAATAGGGGTTGGAAAAAAGAGTCTTTGCCTTTTTCCCCAGTATGTGTGTTTCCAGGAAGAGCTCTTTTCCTTATGGATTTATTTTGTTTTAATCTAATTCGTGACACAAATCTGTGGCATCGTTTTGTCGTTCAAAAGTGGTGGCAAAAAGCAGCAGGGTAAAGCTTAGAATAAAGACTCACCTTTTCCCACTCACAGAGTCACCATTTAGGAGGTTGTGATGAACCCACAGCTTTACTCCAAGCAGGCTGCAAGGCTGCTTCCTTCTGAAGCACGTAGCCCCCACCGCACATCAGAAAAGCTGATTTCCTCTTTCCCCTTCCAGAATGATGCTGAAAATGCCTCTGAAAGGCTTTTTTGCCTTGGCAGGCAGGCGGGGAGGAGCCACTAGGGGCAGTTCAGCACTGTCACCAAGGCTCTGCAAGGCCAACTCACCCTAGAAACTAAAATGACCCCCAAACACCTACAGGGCACATCTTTAACAGTGATGCTAACAACCCCTGGCTCCACACATGCATAGTACACGTGCCCTGCTGCAGACATGGTTTATTCCAGGGCAGGAGATGTTTGTGCCTTCACCTAGGCTCTGCTGGCTTGAAATGAGAAGCCTTCTTCAACCTTTCCTTGCCCCTAGAGCCTGATGGCTCATTCTCCTGCTTGAGACCACATCAGCGACTCCCTCTCCTCAACTTGATGGTGATTCACATTTAAGTGCAGGTCGGGATTTGTGCGGCTCCCCAGCTGCTTAGCATCTAACAGGCATTCTGCAGGGTGACCCAGTGTCATGCCACAGCCCCTAATTAAACAACACCACTGCATCCCAAGGAAGCAGGGCTGCGAACTTCAGGCTCGCCGCTGTTAGCACACCCAAAGAGCAGTTGGAAAGGCTCTTGGCCTCAGAAATCAGTTCAGTGCACAAAACTAGTCAAATTTGATGTGTGCCACCTCCAGGTGCCTATGGGTTTGAAATCTAATGCCCCTTACAAACAGAACCCATAGCACAAGTGTAAGGAATAATAACAGAAACAGGCAAAATCCTCCCAGTGGATCCAGAAGCGTAACACTGGCTCCAGCCTGGCGAGCTCAGGACTGTGTCTGTGGTAGGTTTACCCACAAATACATGCTCCTTATACTCAATCTACATCCTCAAGCTCACCTCAGGTGCACTGAGGAGCTGAATTGCTTGTGCTCAGAGGAAGGTGGGGAGAGATGCGCTGGATGCGCCCTAAATTCTGCTGCAACACTCTCTTGCCTGATGGCACCAGATGTACTCTGGCCTTAGGAAGCGAGGTAATTAATGCCTGTAGCCCGAATCATTTCAATCTTACTCAGTATGAAGTGGAAGCAAAACACGGCAGATGAAAGAGGGAACTGTTTAACCAGCCGGGGGAGCTTTCCGAGGAGAAAAGTGCTGGTTGTTGGGGAGTTTCAGGCAGAAGGTACGCACCCGCACCCCCGGGGCCGGGGAACCCTATAAAACCCCACACAGTGCCTCAAGCCCCACCACCCGCTCCCAGTCGCCGCTGCTGCCGTCACCTGGGTAAGTCGAGAGCGAGACGGGCTCCGTCTCCTTCCCAACTGAGCTCTTCCTTTCACGGATGCCTTGTGCCCGCAGAGTCCCAGGTTGGTTACCTGCCTCCCTCCCGCCTGTGGATGAGGAGGATGCTGGGGAAGGGTTTCATTTCTGCTCCAAAGAGAGGAGTGTAAGGGGGCTTGTAACCACGGAGCCAGGTCCGTCCTGCATGGTTTGCCTTGCTGAAGCCTTTCAGCCAAAAGAAGAATATGCCCAGGTTGCAGAGATCAATGCGTCACTGATTATGGAAAGGCATTGGAGGTCCCATAGGTTTTGGGATGGGATAACTCGGCCCATGTTAAATCCAGCTTGCTCACGTTGTATTGGTTTAAGTCAGTTTTGCGTCTCAGGGAGCATTTTACTTGCTGAGGGCTTTGTTGTTGGCTTGAAGGCAGGCACTGTGCAGGGCTGGGTCTGCTCTCAGCATCTGGTGCTTCCCCAGATGTGCTACTCAAGCCAAACTCCTTGCATTCTCCCAAGTGAGTTATGGGATGAGGAAAGGAGGAAGCCCATTTGGAAAGCCTTCCTTTGGGGTTTCTAAACCATCCAAGCTCACCCCTTAGCTTGCTTTCCCAAACTGCTTATGGCAGCCGCTGAATAAGGGCTCATCAGGGATGGACCAGCCTCTGCCTTGCATTTACCCCCTGGCTCTGGCTTTCAGGTAGACGTCCTTGCCGAGCAATGTCCTGCTACGACCTGTGCCTGCCCTCCTCCTGCGGTCCCCGGCCGCTGGCCACCAGCTGCAACCAGCCCTGCTTCCGCCGCTGTGGGGACTCCACCACCGTCATCCAGCCCCCCACTGTCATGGTCACCCTGCCCGGGCCCATCCTTAGCTCTTACCCGCAGAACACGACAGTGGGATCCACAGCATCGGCTGCCATCGGGAACTACCTGCGGTGCTGCGGGATCCCCGTGGGCTCCGGTGGTCCCCGCGGGCTGGGGAAGGCAGGACTGCTGTGCCTGGGCAGCAGCGGGATATAGGGGTCTCTGTGATGGTCACCTCCTGCTGATGCCAGCGGAACCTCTGCATCAGGAAGGAGAAATGAAGAACAGGACCAAGACTGGGGAAGAGGACTAAGGAAATGCCCGTGGGTTTCCCAGCTGGGAGGGGGGGAGCTGCAGACCCCCACCAGGAGGAAGGGATCCATGTGAGCTTGTCACCGTGCCTATGTATACCTTTCTCTCACTAAGCCTTGCTTTATATTTCCATGTATGTGTCACACCCTGCGGGCTACACAGCATTTGCTGCTGGCTGGGCAAAAATGCTTATAGCAGGCTGTAGGTGGAAGATGATAGCCATGGGGCAGGGGGCAGAGGAAAAGCCTTGTAGGGATCAGCTTGTCCTGGACTGGGGTTTATCCATTTCTTTCCCAAGCACTGGAAATGCACTTCTCATACTCTGCACTGATTTATTCTCCTATCTCATTAAAGTCATGCTGCATCATAGACTGAGTCTTCTGGTGTTCCTTGTGCCTCTGGACTGGAGGCAACTTGTTACTGGGGGTGGAGATTCCTTTTGGTTTTGGACTGAAATGAGGGTTTCTGCTGCTCAGCTCCTCACTGTGCTGACATAAGTGTGTGATTTGCTGTGACCAGCTCCAAGATAACTTTCTCAGCCTGGAATCTCTCCTGCTGCCCCATAGCAAGCACCTGCTTAGGGAGGACTTCCTGCAGGAGCAGAGTTTTTGCCTGTTCCCTCAAGGAGGTGGGAACATGGAGGTTTAGCATTTTACCCTGTGTTTTGCAGCAGTTTTGGGGGGTATGCTAAGGAGGATGGATGTGGGGTCAGGGAAAAAAGGTAGAAGTGGGCTTCTTTGGAGATGCTCCTTTGGATAGCGATCCTGTGCCCAACTCACTTAGTGTTTTATGGGTGATGATGGAGAATAAAATATTCCTAAGATATACTGGGGCAAACCCACACCTCAAGGTTTAGGCTCTTCATTCTTGCTCTTTACAAGGCAAAAGAGACCTTATAAAAATAAGTATGTGCTGACTCAACTCAGGTGGCAGTGAGGCATGTGGTGTATCTCCATCTGTCTGTATCTCTTAATGAAACAGCAGAAACGTTTTGTTCTGTGCTGCTGTTTGCATGACTAGACATGCATATGTATAGGTGTGACTCCAACCTTTGCCTGGAGTAAGCCCTATCTGTGAGCTGAATATCCCCATGTTCCTGTTCTGGCTCAGGGAGCACACCTTGTCCTGCAGCCCATGTTCACAGCAGCATCCCCAGCCCCATCAGGGAAAGAGGGGTGCCTGTGATGTGGAATGTGGTGCAGGGTTACCCAGGTTTCTTCTATGTACACACAGGTTTCCAAATAGACACTTAGAAGCCTAATTTGCTGTGACCGAGCACTGATTGATCAGAGGTGTCATAGAATAATAGACTCAACCAGGTTGAAAAAGCCCTTTAAGCTCATCAAGTCCACCTGCTCCCCAGCACTGCCCAGGCCACCACTAACCCATGACGCTGAGGCCTCATCTCCACAGTGCGTGAACACTTGCAGGGACGGTGACTCCAGTTGCAACAGCAACAACTGGACCAGCACTCAGAGCTTTGCTCTGTTGCTGTGTAGAGAGACCTGCAGGTCCCATGCTGGCCAGTTAGAAGACGTCAAGGATAACCCCATCCCTAGCCCCAGCCCCAGCACAGTGAGCTCTTCCCAAAGACTGGGACCCAAGACTTTAATTGGACACACTGGTGATTTGAAGGATAATTGCTTTACAAGGAGGGAGTGCAGGTGTCTCTGGAAGATGTCAGGCATTGAGTAAAGCTTCTTTTTAAGATGCCATGTATCAAATAGAACCTATTCAGCTGATGGAAGGAGGAATAAGAGTCCTTCATGGGTACCATTTAAACCTCTTTTATGCCTTAAGCATTTTGGTAGTCTGACAATTTGCATAGAGCATATGAGTGTTTATAATGAGGCTGAGCTTGAAAGCACATTGGCCTTCAAAAGCCTTTGCCCAAGCTCAACTGGTTTTATTGCTCAGGAGATCTTCACAGAGGTGCTCCTAATTTGGGGAAAATTCATGTGGCAATTGCCCAGCAGCTTGAGCACCAGGAGAGGAGACATGTGACATGTGGTTCCACAGCCCTCTCACAGGGATGTTTTATCAGTTTATTTCTTATCCAAGGTGCAGGAATTAATTACCTACAGAATGCAAAATTCTCCTGAACACTACAATGAGGAAAAGGGTTGGATTCCCAGCAAAAGCTGTGTTAGAAAGATGTAGCCATCCAGGCCTTGTGCAATGGTCTTCCGTCATAGGAGAGTCCAGGATGGAGCAGGGGGAATGAACAATGGCATTTTTATGTGGCTTTTCACTGAATGACTTCACTGATGAGCTGTTGCAGGTATTCTTGCTGAGGCGCTGGCACAGGGTGCCCAGAGAAGCTGTGGCTGCCCCATCCCTGGCAGTGTTCAAGGCCAGGTTGGACACAGGGGCTTGGAGCAACCTGCTCTAGTGGAAGGTGTCCCTGCCTGTGGAACTGGATGATCTTTAAGGTCCTTTCCAACCCGAACCATTCCATGGTTCTATTATTACGATTTTGGTTTGTTTGCTAGCCTTTGATTTGACTTGAAAATTGTGATGCCTTTCAGCAGACAGGCAAGTGAGGACCTCAGTGCCCCCCATTGCTCCCCACCCTAAGGTATCTGGCACCCTGTCTCCCATGGCTGTTGTGGCTCCCAGCTGGGAGCCATCCTGAATTCACTGTACCACATACCCCCCCAAGCCAGCATTTGCCCAGGGCAGGACCCCACAGACTTGCTGATCAGGCCCTAAAATACAGGTTCCTACCAAAGGCCCTCGTGAGAAACAGTGAACTACAGACCAAGAGGGAACTACATCTTTCATGAGATGAAAAACAATGCTGAGTGGGCGGAAGGATGCACATGGAGGGAAATAGCTGGGTCCTGGTCCCAGCATCGCTTACTTACGGCTTTCAAAAGGAGCAGCAGCAACAGAAGCATCTGTCAGAAGAGCCTGGAGCACAGCCCAGACACCATGAATGAATCTGTTGGGTCTTGTGTTCTGCTCACCTCCCATCCTCCCTCACCTGCTTATGTCCTTGCAGGAAACCTTCTCCGTGCTGTCACCCAGCATCCTCCTCCAGCAGCACTCATTGCTTCCTGGAGACCCCTCTTTCCCTGCATTTTCTGTCTTCCTTTGCTTTGGTGAAGTCAACTGCAGCAGCAGACACTACAGTGCATGCACTAGGGTGAGGTACACCGGCTCAGCAAGGAGCAGTCGAAACACGCCGGGAAGGTGGTGGGATAGCTCCTTATTGAGAGGTCACAGTGTTAGGGGTGTCAATGTTCTGTTTGGGGTGCATGTAATAAGCAACGTCCCCGCTTCCACCAGCTCCAGTGGCAAATACGCTCACAGAGGTTCCTCTGTACTTGGGGAAGCCGACAGCATCAGCCAGTGAGTATCTCGCATGGCTGTGGGTGTGGATGAGGCAGGTGGAGGGGTGAAGTCATGGTGTGAGTTGAACCAGCACAGTGTGGAGCTGTCACAGGAAAAGGAAGACTGGTGTGAACAGCAAGTAAGTGGCACCATCAGGAATGGAAGCCCCAGGCAGCACGGAGCTGGTGATAGCAATGGAGGGATCGGTGGTGGCTGTGTAATTGCTGGGACAACAAGATCGCAGCACATCAATCTGTGGCCCCTCTGCACATCCAGATGGGAAGGCAGAAATCCCAGTGACTCACAGCAGTGGGGCAGGATGAAGAGCCAGAACCACTGCCTGTGCCTTTGCTGGGTTGCAAAAGGCATCTTCCACCCCAGCTCCCAAGTACCAAGCTGAGGGCGATACCAGGAGGGCAAGCAGGCTTCAACAGGCAGCACCCATCATCCTCCTCACTGGGGAAGGACCTGTAGCCAGAGCACTTGGGGACAAGCATCCTGGAGCCAGCTGGGTGGAGAGACAGAGCCGCTGGAGCTGGGAGCCTGCAGGCAGGGCGGACTGAAGTGGGGCTTGTTTCCCAATCAAACCCTCCTTCCTTGCCCACCAGAGTTTCCAACACCATTTCCCACCAAAGCACACAGGTTTTAGGAAGGGGAGAGAAAGTGGCTTGTTGGCTGGGATATCCTACCCCAAGCACCCGCAGGCTCACCCGTGTTTTCAAAGCACCATCCCTGCTACACAAGGGCCCTGCACCAGCCTGGGGAGCCAGACAGGCAGTGGCTCCATCAGTTCTTCCCCAGGGCTGGAAATCCCATAAACCAGGAAAATAACAGGTCAGCCACATGTGTGAGTCACTGAACCTCACCCTAAGCCCAGATCCTAGCCACTGTTCCCTGCTGTCCTACATCCCCTTCTTCTGTGATCTGCTCCCACCAGGGTGGGCAGTGCTCGAGGATGAACAGGGATGAGTGCAACAAAAGAGGACACCAAATCCCCATGGCTTAAAAGGTCATCGTAGAACCGCAGACCTGGGTCTCCTCAGAGCTCAGCAGAGGGGCAGAATCCCCTCCCTGACCTGCTGCTCACGCTGTGCATGGCGTGTTGTGGGTTGCAAGCACACAGTGCTGGGGCAGGTCCTGAGTGTTTCAGACACAAGAGATGCTCAGTTCTCACACTGCTAATTCACATTCGCTGAGGATTAGGTGTCTGCACATCTCCCATAGAGAAGGGTGAACAGGGTAAGGTGTGTGCTGCTAGCACTGGACGTGTAGGACTGAAGGAGCCATGACTGGAAATCCCTGGGGTGCCTGCTCCTCCTCTACTTTGCAGAGCAGGGCTGAGGAATGAGGCTTGCCTGTGCTGCCGGTGGCAAATCCACCCTCCTGGCTGCCCTGGGTCAGCTCACGAGGTTCGGATGTGCCCCAGGCAGGTAACCCTGGCTCTGGCACAGCCTGCAATGCTATTAGCACTGCCGAACTTGCTGTGTGCGGGCTGTGCTACAGTACCTGTGTGTGGACAGGGATCCCCATCCCACTTGGAATGGGTCTCCAAGAGGTGGTGGTGGGAGATGAGGGCACCCAGGCACCATCAACTTGGTCCCAGTGTAGAGCACAGGGGCCAAGGGCCAGTCACCCCAGTCCACCCCGGCTCGTTGGTCTAGGGGTATGATTCTCGCTTCGGGTGCGAGAGGTCCCGGGTTCAACTCCCGGACGAGCCCTGCTTTTGCGCACGCACCTTCCCTTTGGTGCTGGTGGCTGTGACATGACAAAGGGTACAGGTAATTGCAGCGGTGCCAAAGCACAGTGGCTTTGGTCCCAAGTCATGGCTGGGTGGGCAGGATGGACCCCCAAGAGCCAGCAGCAAGGGGCTGTTGATGCAGAGGGGATGTAGCTCAGCGGGAGAGCGCTTGCTTTGCATGTAAGAGGCCCTGGGTTCAACCCCCAGCATCTCCACCTCCTTTTGCCTCTCACAACACCCTTCCTGTCACACAGGGAT